TGAAAAGATCCTAGCTTGCTTTGCATGCACCTGGACAGAGACACGCCGTGACAAACAAAGCTAGAGAGAAGCTTGACTCAAATTGGAAAGGACAAAATGAATTAGTTTTACGTATAAATGGTTAATCACAAAAGTTCTTTTAAGTTGTCAATATTTAACAATCTGTTGTCATTTCTTGCACAGGATCTTGTTATTGCATGCTACTTACTTGTTCTAAAATATTTTGGTGATTAGATTGCTTATATAGAACTGCACAGTAATTCTCTCGAAAATAAAATGATAGTGATAGCGTTGGAAGGAAGAAAACATACAGGGTTATTTGCAGCAACACCAACATCAATGAGGTTGAACTCCTGACCTTGGCGCTTGTCATTTTGGGTGGTGAAATAATGAGCAGGCAGATACTTGGTGCTGCTCAAGTTGAAATGCATCTATATCAGAGAGCAATGCATTCACTCCTGGCTTCTTCGTTTGCTGTCTTATTGTCCAACAACACATGTACATTCATGTCACAGCCCATAGTTGAAACAATTTTAGGTAAACCAGCAACAGATGGAGAGAAGGAGATGAACCTTAAAAGTGGAGAAAACAGTGGGTTGAAGGCGTTTGAGGTCGAAGGTAGGGATGACAACATTGGTCAATGTTTGGTTCAATCTGGTGTTTCCCAAGCTGTTCCTTAATAAGATTACGCAATTACTTCCCGTCGTACTTTGGTACTGCTAGCATTTTCCCCTCCTTCACCCGCATGACATCACTAAACATTTTGCGTGTGTTTATGTGCTTAAAATTTAGGAGATTGTGTGTAATTTAATTTAATTAGAAAAACTAATCATTTAGTCCTTATATTTTTTTTCCTTAATTACAACTCAATCCTTCAAGTATCAGCCATTTAATCGCTTGGTTTTTACATTTTAGAAAATTATATAGTCCTTCATGGATTGAACTATAATCATGTCACAAAGTGCAGAGACTAATTAACAGATTAAATGGTTAAAACTTGAGAGTCTGAATTGTGTCAAGTTAAATTTTAAAAACTGAATCAAATTTATAAAAAGATAATTTAAAGATCAAGGAATTGAGTTGTAATTAAGGCCTCTTGTTTTCATTTGGAACAGTGAGCATTGCAGTCATTAATCCTCCTGTACTTGTTCCTGCTATTACATCAAAATAATCTGCCAATCTTGCGTCTTCTTCATCCAGCTTCTGCACCACATAATACAGACACATATACTTTAAAATAAACAATCTTTATATGCGTCCAAATCTCATGGGCTCAAGTTAAATTCTTTCTAATAGGTGCATGATCTCGTGAGTGGACAAACGTATCAAATGAGTTTCACCACGGAAAAAGCCAAAATTTAGCCATGAGGACATTAAGATTGAAAAGCATACACATACATAGTATTTTCTGTCCTTAATATAAGAGTTAGTTGGGATTGTAGATTTGATCTTAAATATAAAACTTTAATTTACTTTGTCTTCTGTAATTATTTTTTTCCAAATTACTATCTCCGGTCCTATTTATAAGACCTTGTTTGTAAACTATAAACTAGATCTTATAATTAGGACTAGATGTAGCATTTACTTAGCTTATAAGGTGATACATAATCTAATGTTACATAGGGATACTTTAGAGAGATCAAATCACATTGTTTATAATTAGTTAATTTATTTAATTTTCTTAATCTACTTAAATTCATTAAGTAGCTCTTACATCATTTCAAAGGATCATAAATGTATAACACCTAAAAATAATAATACTCCCTCCAATCCTAAATATAGCAATTAGACAAGAAATTTACTTTGGTCATAAATGTAAAAGCTTGTTGCCCTTTGTATTTCAAATCTTTCATAATTGTTTCTCCAAAGGACATATTGTGAGATTTCTATCAAAGGCAGTTCAAATTTATATGATTAAAAAAAGTATTTTACATACATATGTTACAAATAATTAACTTAACTAATATTCTTAATTTAAGTCAATTAGTACCTAGCTCTTATATTAAAAACAAGAGAGATACTACTAAGAAAACACTGAAAACTACAGAGAATATATAGGTTGAATTCCATTCCATATTGTTAAAAACTTGAAGCTGTGATTCGAGGAAGGCAAGGATAATGAGAGCAATGATTCCTCGGACGCCCCCACCATCAATGCTGAGCACTATAACATGTTCTCCTTGCTTTGAGGTTGCCATGAACTTGCTAAAGTGCAGTTCCATGGCTTTTGAGCTACGGACTATTATTCTTGGAGCCTTATATAGAGTTTTTAATTAACAGGTAGCACAATCTTCATAATTGATGTGTGTGCGCGTAAGCTGCTTATTGTTGTCCCATGTGATCAATACCTCTTCGTTAATTAACGTAGTTAATGCTGCTAAAGTAGCTAGTTGTTTTCTTTTATTCATCACCATATATAATTATAACATGAATATTCTCTTAATATTGGTGCTTGTAATATTGCATGGATATGGTATGATACAAGGAAGGTGGATCACTCTGAAAATATGGTAGTCTTTATTACTAACAAAATTAACTCACCTTGATAATGAATTTAATTTAATAAAAAATTGATGTCCCCTGGCTCAATCATTATAACTGTATAATTAGTTAGATTTAAATCATCAACAAATCCAAGGGTAATGGTTGGCATATTAACCTCTCATGAAATGAGAGCATGCCTGAGTTGTTTAGTTATTGAATAGGTTGGATTCAATCTCATTTGCATAACTTTCTCTAGTCTTAACAGAATTCCATAAATAAAAAAAATAGTTAAAATTAGTTAAATACAATAAATATATAAAAATGTATCTTGTTTTTTTTTAAAATTATTATTTATGGAAGAGAGAAGATAATGGGAAGAAAAAAATAAGTACATAGAAATATTAATATAGTGATACTATATGTAATTAATAAAAAAATTGGTTAAAATTTTAGACATTGATCTTTTGAGTGAATCTTGTAAATAAGATCAGAATACTCTCAAAAAAATATTTATACTACTTCCTATCTTTAATATAAGAATTAGTTGAAGATTTAATTTAGTTCTAAATATAAAATCTCAATCTATTTCCTCTCACATATTTATTTATTTATTTTCTAAAATAGTTCATTTGGTGATTACACATATTAATTAAATGTACTTTTTTGACATCGCACATATCAAAAGTACTTCATGAAAAGGTAGTCTCAATGCACATAATTAATAAGGGTATTTTATGAAAAACAATACTCCTCCGGGCCTAAATATAAGACATTTATACTAAAAGTATAAGGGTCTTATATTTAGAACTGGAGGAGTACTTATTTATTACAAATAACTAATGCCACCACGGGAAGCTTATCCTTTTATAATTATTTTTTCTTAAATGAAATATATACAACAGATAACTTATTTTTAGCGGGTGTTTGGATATCCCCAGAAGTGTTTTTTGAAAAACACTTTTACACAAATTGAGACAAATTCCTCCTTATATTTACTTCGTATACCATAAAATTACTTTTAAAATTATAATTTGATTTTCATCCAAATACTTGTTTAAATAACATGAGCTGACAATATAGTCAAGAAGAATAAACTAAATTTCTAATAAGCTTGGTTCACCAAAAAAAAATTTCTAATAAGTTTGTATATTTAAAAAAAAAAAGTCTCTTTGTACCCAACATTGGAAGTAATAAATATACACAACATATCTCTTTATACACTATATATTCTTAATATCTTTAAATTAAGTATTTAACTTTTAATTTTTATATATCAAGGAGTACCTATTATATAAGATGAGAGGAAGTAATAATTACATGTAGTTGGGAATGCGCCTATCACCTTCGAATCATAATCATAATTCCCCTGGACCGCCTAGATTTACAAATCAGGAATCAGATTTTCCAGTGCCTTGGCCTTGGGTTATTAACGGTCTGATTAGTTAAACCGTCAACCGAACTCATCAACAACTTGGTGTGGACTAAAAAACAGTTCATATAATTGATCCGGATTGGACCATAGTTGAGCCGTCATTAAGCTAGAACCCAGAGTTGGACCAGGAACTGAAATGGTTTTCAGAAAACTGGAGGTTTTTTAGCCTGACTGGAAAAGAAAACTAAAAAATTAAAAAAATTGACCCCCTCAAATATCCTAATATATTTTTAGACTATTTATAATTATATAGTATTATTTTATTAGAAATTTCATATATTGTGGTGTTAAAACTATGAGTCGTTAGCATTTTTGTTTTGATATCTGGTTTAGTCTTTAAAACAATGTTTTGATTTGAATGAATTAATAATTTTAAATTTTTAAACATACATAAATTTAAATATATAAGGTTTTAGTCTATTTTCAATGATTTCACTACAATTTTAGATTATTTAAATGTATTTCTAAATTATTTAATATTTTCATATTTTCATATATATTAATTATATATAATATTATTTTGAATTAATTATTGGGCCACCGGTCTGACTGGACGGTCTAGCCGGTCTAACCAATTAAATCGTAACCTTTTTATTTTTCTGGTTCGACTTCCTGCTTTTAAAATATTGGTTGTTACAATCCGACGACAAGTGCCAAATAGAGTAACTCCATGCGTCAACCCCTAAAGGCGTCACATCCCGCCTCATCAATTATTTTTATATCCACAGATTTGACAAGGAATAAATTTAATATCTAAGGGTATTACAGAACATTACATCTGTGGTCTCACTTATACGGAAAAATTTTACACACTATTAATTTTTCTTAAAAAAAGAACTATTCAATTTTATTTTATTTAATATATATATTTTAAACAAACTAACTACTGTCTGCTGTAACAAACGAAGCACAGAATAACACATGCTAAAAATTAAATAAACGACTTTAAATAAATAGGAATAAAAAAAATCTTCCTCACAAAATTTTAAAAGTTCATCGGCTTGGATTCATTGGATCCAATTTTAATAAACCAAAATCTGGAAATTTGCGTTGGAATTCCCATTTTATTCACGCGGCCATCAAATCCAACGTTCCTCAGTAATTTAATCCGCTCCGTGTAGCTCAGCCTGAGGTGTGTTGCTCTGTACACTTCTCACAGATGGAGTCAACTGCAAGTTCCAAATCCTCCACAGCAGTCTTCCTCCTTCCCATCCTCTTCTTCTTCCTCCTCAATGTCTCTGCTTCTTCCAATCCCATCACTTCCTTCCCAAAACAAGCCTTGCCCACAAAATCGGGCTACCTCCCTGTTAACTCCACCTCCAAATCCGCCATTTTCTATGCTTTCTATGAAGCCCAGAACCTCACTACATCTCTCTCCCAAACCCCAGTTCTCATATGGCTCCAAGGCGGCCCTGGCTGTTCCTCCATGATTGGCAACTTCTTCGAGCTTGGTCCGTGGCGCGTCACCAAATCCCTCAATCTCGCCCCCAATCCTGGCTCTTGGAACAGAATCTTCGGCCTCCTTTTCCTCGATAGCCCAGTCGGAGCCGGATTCAGTGTCGCTTCAAACCCCGAGGAAATCCCCAGAGACCAGAAATCCGTAGCCAAGCACCTCTTCGCTGCCATAACCAAGTTCATTCAGCTTAACCCTGCTTTCAAGTATCGCCCAATTTATATAACCGGCGAAAGTTATGCTGGGAAGTATGTTCCTGCGATTGGGTATTACATATTACACAGGAATTCTCGATTGAATGTTTCACAGAGAGTGAATTTGGCAGGTGTGGCTATTGGGGATGGGTTAACACATCCTATAGTACAAGTTGCCACTCATGCTCTGAATGCTTACTATGTGGGGCTGATCAATGAGAGGCAGAAGAATGAATTGGAGGAGGCTCAATTGGAAGCCGTCAGATTGACCAAATTAGGGAATTGGAGTGCAGCAACAGATGCCAGAAGCAATGCTTTGAGACTGTTACAAAACATGACAGGGTTGGCTACTTTATATGACTACACAAGGAAAGCTCCATATGAGGATGATTTGGTAGCTGAGTTCTTGAAATCCAGCGAGGTGAAGAAGGCGTTGGGGGTGAATGAATCTATTGTGTTTGAAGGATGTAGTGATACTGTAGGAATTGCAATGAAAGAAGATATTATGAAGAGTGTGAAGTACATGGTGGAATACTTGGTGACAAAAACCAGAGTGCTTTTGTACCAAGGCCAGTATGATCTGAGAGATGGTGTGGTTCAAGTGGAAGCATGGGTGAAGAGAATGAAATGGGAAGGGATTGAGAAGTATTTGAATGCGGATAGGAAGATCTGGAAAGTGAATGGTGAGATTGCTGGGTATGTTCAAAAATGGCAGAGCCTTACTAATGTTGTTGTTTTAGGAGCTGGCCATCTTTTGCCTGCTGATCAATCTGTGAACTCTCAAGCCATGATTGAGAACTGGGTTTTGCAGAAGGATTTGTTTGAGAACAATGATCAACAGGAGAATGTGCCTCTAAGTTTTTGAGATTTAGTTTGAAATCATGTGACACCTGAATAGAGGAGCTTTGCTCCTATCATGCCCGACTCAAAAGTTGAAATAAATTCAGCATTATGTTGTGTTCTGTGGTGATTGGTATATTGGTATTAGTGCTTTAGCCATAGTTGTTCTGTTGTTGTAAAGCTGGTGAAATGGAATCGCGAGGTTTTGACCCTTCATTGTTGGAATGACACCGCATAGCTAATAAATAAAGTCGACTTGCTTACTTGAAAATTTCAGTTTTTCCCTGATTTCCCCCTCTACTTAGGACACGCGACACACAAGTTAGATAAAAGGTATTGCATTTACCTTTTTCAAGGCAAAAGAAACGGAAGTAGTGTGTGTATCCAAAGGATCTTTTAAATGTAATTTCAAAATGAATGAATAACTAGTGATATTTATTATTATCCTATGAATCAATTTGAGGAGAAATTCACTTCAAGTCATAATCAGTGACATTATTATAATCAATTTTTTTAACCAAGCAGCACATATAAGTTATTAAATTATATAATATGTTAGTTATTCACAAATAATCGTGTGATTTTTGAAGGAATATTAATAAATAATTCTTAATAATTTTGTTACATCATATATATCATTTAGGGTGATTGAATAATTCATACCAACAATAAATTAGTTTGGATTAGTGAACTTTTGGTTTATCAATTTTAAACTCTTTGATGAACTAAAATTCTAATGTAAATCTATGGGTCATAAATTTTATTACCAATTATTTTGCAGCTCATAACAAAATCTATATTAATTCTTTAGAAATTATATGAATTTTGCTAGAACTATCATATATTAGCTTGTATGCTTTGATAGATGCCTTAATTTGCTTCTTTTAATACATTTTCAACATATAAATATGGAATATTTAAAATTATCTACTATGTACATATTTTCTCAAAATCCCCCTGTTGAAAAAATTAATACTCTTTTTTTTAAATATATTTAGTAACATCCCAAAACTTATTTACTGAATTTATAAAGAAATCCAAGAGATTCATAAGTAACTAAGATCAAAATGGGGGGGGGGGACACATTAAAATGATTAATGTTCTGGTGACTAAATTGAAATGAAAAAAAAAAAAACTTTCATTATTTCAAAAAAAAATATTTGGCATAAGAAAATAATATTGACATATCCTTAACATGAAGTCCATTTATAATTAATACTCCATTGAAATGATAGCCAGCGGCTGTAATCAATGTCGACCAAGCAAAGGCACGTGTTTTGAAGTCATAATGTCGTATACACCAACGTCTAATGAACTTGAAATCGCCGTCAATGTTGAGAATATGATTTTCTGGTTTGTGCAGGTTGGAGGGTAAGGTGGCCAGCTAGTTGCGAAAAACGGAGCATCAGTGATCACAGCAGACGTTCACTATGAACTGGGTCATCAACTCGCAGCTTCACTATCCCCATCAAGAGAGTTACCATCACTGTGATGTCAGAGACGAGGAACAGGTCGACCAAACTATATCGTTCGCCGTCGACAGACTTCCGTCGGAGACGATATAAATGGACTTGGCCACGCTTCACCTCTGCGGCCACCATAATGTGGATATCGGACGCATCTGCATCAGGAGACAGAGTGAGGGGAGGTAGAGAAGCATCTGGTTAAAGGGTGTGGAACACCAGGGAGTTAAATTTCGCGACATAGATGGCTCATATTGGGTCATAGATGATTATGACATATTATAAATGATAGAAAAATTCAGGACTAACTTTCAATCGAGTTAAAAGTTCAGAGAGAGACTGAGTTATGCCGAACTCCAGGGATTCAGAGCTAAGCCAACCCTGCAGGGGCACATCATATCAGAAACTTCAAAGAATCACAATCTCAGGCAGACAGGCACAATAAAATGACAACGACAAAATCTACAAGGCGTCAAACTAAATCACAGAAACTATTCCTTGTTTCTCATATTCAAACATATTCCTCTCCAAAACCCAGTCTTCTATCATCATTTGAGAGTTCAGAGGTTGATCAGCTGGCAAAAGATGGCCACCGCCCAAAACGACAACACTTGCGAAGCTTCCCCATTGTTGGACATATCCTACTGGAACTTTATTCACTTTCCAGATCTTTCTCTCTGCATTCAAATACTTCTCAATCCCTTCACATTTCATTGTCTTCACCCATGCCTCGCTGGGAGGCACCCCTAACTTCAAGTCATATTGCCCTTGGTATACAAGCACCTTAGTCCTCTTCACCAAGTACTCTACCATATACTTCACACTCTTCATTAAGTCCTCATATAATATAGCTAGAACAGCATCACTACAACCTTCAAACACAGCAGATTCATTCACCCCTAGTGCCTTCTTCACCTCACTGGATTTCAAGAACTCAGTGACCAAATTACTCTCATAAGGAGCTTTCTTTGTGTAGTCATACAAAGTAGCTAAACCAGTCATGTTCTGCAACAGACTCAAAGCATTGCTTCTAGCATCTGTTGCTGCACTCCAATTCCCCAATTTGGTCAATCTGATCGCCTCTGACAGAGCCTTCTCCACCTCATTCTTCTGCCTCTCATTGATCAATCCAATATAGTAAGCATTCTTAGCATGGGTAGCAACTTGTGTCACTGGATCAATCAGCCCATCCCCAATTGCCACACCTGCCAAATTCACTCTCTGTGAAACATTCGATCGAGAATTCCTGTGTAATATGTAATACCCAATTGCAGGAACATACTTCCCAGCGTAGCTTTCACCGGTTATATAAATTGGTCGGTGCTTGAAAACAGGATCAAGTTGAATGAACTTAGTAATGGCAGCAAAGAGGTGTTTGGCAACAGATTTCTGGTCTCTTGGGATTTCTTGAGGGTCCGAGGCCACACTGAATCCGGTACCGATTGGGTTATCGAGGAAAAGTAGGCCGAAGATTCTGTTCCACGAGGCAGGATTCGGTTTGAGAGTTAGGGATTTGGTGACGCGCCATGGACCGAGCTCGAAGAAGTTACCGATCATGGAGGAGCAGCCAGGGCCGCCTTGGAGCCAGATGAGAAGTGGGGTTTGGGATAGAGGTGAAGTGAGGTGCTGAGCTTCGTAGAAAGTGTAGAAAATGGCAGAATTGGAAGCATGGCTGACAGGGAGGTAGCCAGATTTTGTGGGTAGCGCTTGTTGGGGGAACAAAGGGGATGGATCTGGGGACGAAGAAGAAGAAACATAGTTGTGATTTAAGCAGAAGATAAGAGTGGAGAGGAGGAAGATCACAAGAGAATTGGTTCTTGTTGACTCCATTGGAGAGGCGAGGAATTTGGATCCCGAAAGTGAGATTGACTAACTTTTGACCAGCCACGGGGAGTCCCTAGGAAACGTGGATCCATTTTTCATATTCATCTGATCCAGGCAGGAAGATATTGAACTACTTGTGAATTTGATTAGGAATTGCGGAATCCGTCGGAGTAATTTTGAATGGCGATTTACAAAATATAATATAAGCATATGAGAAATTTTTCTGTGTGAATTAATGCTTTTAAAAATCTCAATCACACTTCCAAACAACTGAACAAGTACCGAATAAGCCTACTTTCTTTGAGGGCTTATTTTTACTTTTTACGATAATTAATCTTTTAATTCTATTAGTATGATAAATTGACAGCTTCAAAACAACTTTTTTATTTAAAATAAATTTAAATAAGTTTAGATAAGTTTGGTACTGAACACTCACCAAGATTAGAGCATGTCTCTAAACTTAGATAATACTTACAGAGATACTTACAATCTTACAAATAGTCTATCAATAAAATCCTCACATCAGCCGTGGGATTCAACCTCATGACTTTGTAAGTTATTAGTCAACCCCTTACTAACTGAACTAATTTTTGTTTACAATTTCAAAACAACTTTTATGAATAGGATAAGGGAATAAACTAGGTGCATTAACAAGTACCCAAAAAAATTTTAAAAAAAAAACTTCAAAGCTAATGAATAATAATTGTTTTTTGGTAGAAATATAATAATTTTTTTTAATCAAAGAGATAGATGCTAACTGCTTGAAATTACAATCCCGACCGAACCCGCAACATGCCACTTACATGGGCGCGTCATTGTTACTCAGCTATAAGGCTTTTGGCAGAATAACGGGGTTTGACACTTATTGCTGGAAATTGGAATGACACCGCATAGGTAATGAATAAAATCGACTTCCTTACGGGAAAGTTTCAGTTACTCCCTGATTTCTTTATTTAGTTAGGACACGCCACATAGGGCTGGTTCGGATTGAGGGTAAAAAAAATAATTTATTTTTAATTTGACTTTTAAAAAGATAAGATTGGATAAAAAGTTAAATTGAGTAAGGTGAATTGTGTTTGGATTGGAGTTTAAAAAAATTAACTTGTAAAAGTTAAATTAGATAAAAAGTTGTTTAGATTATGATTGAATAAAAATAAATTTGCTTATAAAATTATCAAAATTAGTATAAGTTTTAATAAATAATAAAATATGATTAAAAAAAATGAGAAAATTCATCAGCACAGGAAAAGGTACACAGTATAATACCCATATCATCTGAAACTTGAAAAGCAATGTCATGGTAACATTAAAGATTGTGCCTAGAAAATAAGAAAGAAAACACGATCTTTGACCAAGATGTTGACGAATTTAAGTACCAGCAGCACCCTTCAGAGCCTTCTTTGATTCTTCACTAACATCAGCGCCCGGCGACTTTGGAGTAAAACTATCAAAACCCGGCCTTTTCTTTGTTACGTGGATCGATCTCGCCATTAGAAGATTTCATCTCATTCCTCTCAACTTCTCTGTACTTGCCAAAGTCTAATCCTCCAATAGAGCTGAAGCCGAATGTTTCCCTTCGGAGATCTTCCATGGCATTCCTCAGTAATCCATTCTCAGCCTGCAAAACTTCCAATTGCCGTTTCACTTTGAGACAGGCCTCTGCCACGTCAGCATTTCCCGAGGATGCCGAATCCGGGCCCGCTCTTTTACTCCCTCTCCCCTTTGAATCTCCACCTTCCACGTGCTTGACTCCACTCTTATCCATCACCAGGAACGGAATCTTCTGAAATGCTATCCTAGCCGTCACGTTATCACGACACTTCAGCTCCGCTGGTACACGAACACCCCATGGGAAGTTCACCAACAGATCAAACAAGGGAACAGCTTTGAAGTAGCGATGAAGGAGCAGGCTCGAGGTCACTCAACACCACACCCAACACTATACGGACCTCATGCTGGAGACGCGACGGAGCTCACAGTGAGGAGGCAACGGAGCTCGTCCGGCGGTAAAGAGGGGTCGTGCGTTTTACAATGTCTTTAAAGCATTTTATTTAATTGAACTGATTATTCTAGGTTGATAAAATGTCTTTAAACTAATATATTTTGGTTGACAAAATGTCTTGAAGGGAGTGTTTGGGTAACTCTAAAAGTATTTTTTATAAGCGTTTTTTTGTAAATCAAAACAAATTCCTCCACATATTTATTTCATATACTGTAAAAACACTTCTGAAATCATGATTTTGTTCTTATCCAAACATCTCCTTAACTTATTAGTCATTTTGTTTTGAAAATGCCAATAGTGAAAATGTCTACATTCACCACTCAGCAAGTCAAATATCCTACGTTGGCCCAAAAACAAAAAGAGTCAAATATTCCACAAATTTGACTAACTCGTCTGCATTTAGGATTGGTCCCTCAAGCACATCCGCTTGTTTTCTGCAGTTCATACTCAATCTTGTGAATTGCAAGTAACGTATTTCTTTCTTTTTTTTTTTTTTTGGGCCAAGTATTATTCTTGTTGTTATTGTTGTTGTTATTATTATTATTATTTGCCAGCTTGGGTCAAGTATTAACAATGTCGTACTAATTGCATACATTAAACTTGAGATCCTAGTGAACGAAAGAGCAAAATACCTTTCCTAGCCAACGGGCGAGCTCTCTCTCCCCCTCTCCAGAACTTTCGTGAGTGGTGGGAGTTTTCTCTTCCTCGCCTCGGCGCGAGCGGCTGTGGCGACGCCTCCCTCTCCGGCGTTTATGCCGGAGGAGGGGGCGGCCGCCTTTCGTTTTCATTTTCAGTTTCGGTGGTGTTGGGTTTTTAATGGTGGTGTACTGTGTTTTTCCTTTGTTTAAGGGCTTTCAGGGACTTTCTCACGGCGATTTTTGTTTTATTGGTAGTTTGACTTCAAATGCTTCCGATCCTGAGCTGATGCCTTCGGGTTGTGTTTTTGGGGAAAGAGTTGTGTTGATGGCTGTCTCTGTTGCTTTCCGATCTATCTCTCAGAGGACAGTTTGTGGCTCAGTTTTTTGGTAGCAAATCCAAGGCATCAAAAAAGAGACCAGTTATCCTATAGTGGTGCTACTCGTCGTGAGGTCGGCGGTGAGATCTCCTATTCCTTGTTCTGTGTTTTCGTCTAGTTGGCTTGCATCTGTGGGTGTTTCTCCTCCCATGAGTTCTCTCATGGTGTTTCAGCAACCACTTTGGGTTGTTATTTTGCCTAGCAGAGGGTTGGGTCCTTTGGGATGGTTCATTCGAACCCCCACCCCTTTTAATGGTGTTGATGCCGGTGACGGCGCCTCTTTCCCTGCAGATTCCAACGAGAAGACGGTGGGCTTATTTTCGGTGACCTCAGTGGCGGCTGTCCCTCTTGTTTTTAGGTTTAGTTTTTTTAAGGTTTAGGGTTTTCGGCTCTGGGCTGTTATTAGCTCTTCTTTTGGACCTCTTTTGGGCTTTGTACTTATTTACCTTTAATGAATATTCCTCTTTTAAGGTCAAAAAAAAAAAAAAACTTGAGATCCTAGTCAGTCCAAAAACACTCGAGACCCTAGAAGTCAACAAGCAACTTTTTTTGACCCTCTTGCGCTCGTCTCATCGTCTTGACCCTGCCCCCATGCCAAAGCCTTTCATGTCGATAACTCAATAAAATAATACTGTACTGAGTACTGACCAAAGGCAACTTCACCGAATAATTTAATCCACTGAGAATGGATCCCACAGCTAGAGGTGAGCAAAACCGAACCGTAACCGAAAACCGAACCGAACCGAATTCAATTTCGGTTTTTCGGTTCGGTTATTTCGGTTTTCGGTTATATATTCGGTTTTTATTTTTTAAACAATTCGGTTTCGGTGTTCGGTTCGGTTAGTAGAAAAAAATAACCGAATAACCGAAATAAATATACCATATAGTTATATTTAATAAATATTATCATAATAAATATATATGTGGGTATATATGAACTTTTTAAATATATTTATATTCAATAAATATGGTTATAATAAATATTATTATAATAAATCATATTGAATCATGAAATATTTATTAATTAATAGTTGTAATTGTATTTTATTATTATTTTAATTTAAAATCATTTTTCATATTTATATATTTCGGTTAACCGAACCGAAATTTTCGGTTAATTCGGTTTCGGTTTGTTCGGTTATTCGGTTTCGGTTCGGTTTTTAAATTTTACTATATTCGGTTATTCGGTTAGTTCGGTTATTACCGATAACCGAACCGAAAAACCGAATACTCACCCCTACCCACAGCGAGATCCAACTCTGTCACACTCCTAATCTTCATCTTCTTCCTGCTCCTCAATGACTCTGCTGCTTCTTCAAATCCAACCACTTCTTCCCAAAACAAGCCTTGCCCACAAAATCTGGCTACCTCCCTGTTAACCCCACCTCCAAATCCGCCATTTTCTACGCTTTCTATGAAGCCCAGAACTCCACCGCGCCTCTCTCCCAAGCCCCACTTCTCATCTGGCTCCAAGGCGGCCCTGGCTGCTCCTCCTTGATCGGCAACTTCTTCGAGCTTGGACCATGGCGCGTCACCAAATCCTTGAATCTAATTTCCAATCCTGGTTCTTGGAACAGAATTTTTGGCCTTCTATTCCTCGATAACCCAATCGGAACTGGATTCAGTATCGCCTCAAACCCTGAGGAAATTCCCCGAGACCAAAATTCTGTGGCCAAACACCTCTTCACTGCTATAGCCAAGTTCATTCAGCTTAACCCCGCTTTCAAGGATCGCCCAATCTATATAACCGGCGAGAGCTATGCTGGGAAGTATGTTCCTGCAATTGGATATTACATATTACAAAGGAATTCACGTTTGAATGCTTCCCAGAGGGTGAATTTAGCAGGTGTGGCGATTGGAGACGGGTTAACTCACCCAGTGGCACAAGTTACTACTCATGCTGTGAATGCTTATTTCTTAGGGTTGATCAACGAGAGGCAGAAGAATGACTTGGAGAAGGCTCAATTTGAAGCCGTCAGATTGACCAAA